TATATATATATATATTTATTTTAGGGATTCTTGTTTTCATTCTGCACCTGCACATTTCTGCAAGTGTGGATTCTGAACCATGAGCTCTCCTGAGCACTGTATGTTCCCCTGCAGCTGGCACCTGCAAACCCGGGCACACACTAGCAGTAACAAAGTCCGTATGTAAAACACCTCACCTGTAGGAACAGGTATTTATGCTTTAGAAAAATATGTGCTCACCTGTGGCGTAGGAGTGAAAGGAAACCAGCTCCTGGGATGGCTGCTTTTCTGCCTTCCTTTCCTGGGACTGCCCAAAAGGGGCTGCAGAGTTTCCTCTGAAGATCAGCCCCTGGCTAGCTCGATTTCAGACATCACCCCCAAAGTGTGAATTAGACCTTGTTATCCCCCTCTGTGCCTTTGAGGGTGCTGTTAAGCTTCCTCTCAGGACAGTGCCTTGTCGCTCCTTCTTGCAGATCATTCTGAACTCCATGCACAAGTACCAGCCACGGGTGCACATTATTAAGAAGAAGGATCACACGGCTTCTTTGCTAAACCTGAAATCGGAAGAAAAAAAAAGGAAGAGTTCAGGACGTTCATCTTTCCAGAGACAGTTTTTACTGCTGTTACCGCCTACCAGAATCAACTGGTGAGTACACTCGCTAACTTCCATGGATTTAACTGAATCCCACCCTTCTGAGAACTCTCTTTTCCCCAATTCCATCTTTCCCAGTTTTCCAGCTAGGAAACTTTCTGATATAACCTACCTTTCCATGCCAGTGTCTGCTGTGATCGTGCCCAATCTAATTCATATTCAGGAGTAATTCTTACGTATATGGGTAGTACTACCAACTTCAAAGAGCCCTAAGGACTATTCATGGGAGTAAAGATGACATGAAAGTGGCTTTCATTTGTCCTCCCTTCTGCCTATACAAAGCTGTTTGCATATTATCATGTAGTCCTTTTTTAATTATAACTCATTAAGGAACTGTTCTTATTTGCAGAGATCTTTGATGCCACAAGCTATTAGCTGAGAGAGACACTGGTTTGCACAGGATTATTTCATGGCCTTAAAAAGCTGGCTAATTAAGATGTAAGGCTTAAACGTAAGGGAAATCACTCAGAGATATGCTTTTCAGAGGCTGCCCAGATTACATCCAGATGTTTGAATTTCAATTTGCATGCCAGTGAATAATATATACAAAATGGAGGAGATCATAACAATGGATTGCTAATGAGTAATTTTAGGAAGTATATAAACAGAGAGCAGAGGCTCCGCTTGACAGTGGATAGGGCTTTAATATTTAAGTCAGTGGAAATATGATGTTGGCTTCAGTGAGATTCAGAATGTACTTTAAGGGCTTAATAACTGTGGCACTTAAAGAAAAAATACCTCTTACCAAGCTAAATAAACTACAAGTACTGTCCCAACATGTGGGCAGGAGCACCCCGGAGTCAATGTACCTGCTGGACTATTTAATGAGCAAAAGTAATTAATTTCTAAGTGCTATGAATAAAATGCAACCGCTGCACAGAGGCAGAAGAAGCCCTGAAGATAACAGTGTAGTATTAAGTCAGTCCTTGTGACAGATCCCACTTCCCACATTAAGGCTTTAATATCTGAATGTATTGATTTTAAACTGAGGTTTATATGTGAATGCTGCAGAAAATGCATCCTGGCGATCTCAGGAATACAAGGTGATTTTTGCACGTAACTTTCTTTAGAAACCAGCAAAATAGTTACAGGCACAAAACCAGCTAAACCTGAAATCTATTTCTGTAGGATGGATTTGTGTTTACAGACGCTATTTACACCAGAGATGTTTCTAAACTAACCTTCCCAAAGCACATACATTGAGTCCTGGAAAACTTCTCAATGGAACATCTCCAGAACCCCTAGAGGTTGATGCTGTCTTTTTATTTATGACTAATGAAAACAGAGCCTTTTTTCATTTTTGCCATTTCTTTCAGAACTGTTTTAAGGAGGGATTGATTACATTTCTGGAGGTTATTAGATAAAAGCTAAATACATTACACTTTCAACAAACTATCTCATAATTTAAGATTTAAAGGGCATGCATTTATTTAAACAGTCAAACCACTGCCACAGAGTTGAATTGTAGGTCAGATTTCATTTTAAAATGCTTTCTAGCAGATGTTCTCTGGTTGTTTGTGAGACAGTCTCTCAGGAAAAATATGGCCATAAATGATTGTGAGTCTCATCTGGCATCGGCGTATACAAAAGGTTTCTCTTGTGATGTCATACCAAATCTTTAATATTAGAAAACGTAAGTCTGATGGGTGAAAACATGCTCAAGAGATGAATAGATGTCCTTATTATTCTGCAGTGCAGTTGGCTTGGTGTGTTGGTGATCTAAGTCAATGGAACTAGTCAGAGCTTGTCTCTTTTCAAGGTAGTTTTCAGGATGCTGCCATAAAAACGTTCACTGTACGTGAGGCACCAACTTTTTTGCAACATCACCATAACTCAAGGGCTTACGGGCGTCTTGGGAGTAGAATAAGACTATAAGTAACTTGCTGAACTGCTGCAAGGTCCTGTGACAAGGCTGGTGTTCAGGGAGGTTTCCACCAGTTGTACCTGGTGGTTGTACCACCACGAGACAGCCCCAAACTCTCAGCCAGTGCTGTTTGGCCAGCCACAGGTGAGCTGCAGCAGCTCCTGCCTGGTGCCTCAAAGCAAGGACATTCCCCAGAGAGCTTGGGAGACCCGTATGGACCCAAGACAGTGAGCAGGGAAGGCAGCGGCCCAGGGATGCAGTGACTTTCCCAGGGTGGCAGCCGCGCAGCGCATCGTTCGTATACTGCAGACCAGTAGTTAAATACTCATGTTTTGTCTTTGTAAGCCTTTCCCTCCCAGCACATCTCTTTGTCATAATGAAAAGTTGGGCTCAGTGTCCTTTTTAACTATTTTTATTTATTTTTTTTTTTTAATTTGGAGGAGAACCCACCCCATTTTGAAATACTGTTGTTTGAGACCATTTGATTGTTTGAGGATTTGGAAAAGATCCCTTTTCTTGCTGAGTCTCAAGGGCCAGCTATTAAAAAAAGAGGTTGTGGCCTCTTCAATAAAGGCTTTTTTTGAGGAAAGCCAGGCCGACACAGCCACTCGGTCTGAAGTGCTGAGAGCTGTTATTTCCATGGGCTTCAGCTAGAGTTGGTGGCATTCACTGCCTGGCAGGACAAGTCCTGTGATGTCCCTTGTCAATCTCTAACTCCCACTTACAGCTTTAGTTTGAATTCTTGCAAGAAGTATGGCTGGAAAATCTGAACGTTATGATGATGTCTCAGGTTTTATTCACCAAATCTCATCTGGTTGGACAGCTAGAATGTTTCATAAGGGTAGTGGTATATCTATTTCCTGCTCCCATAAAACCACAGTGATAGCCATCACCTATGGCTGAAAAGTTTCACTGCAAAAGGAAGGGGAGCCCCGATGCTCTGGGGCAAAGGGACTCTTGAGCAGAGTGGAAAGGCTGACAGGATGCACTGGGCAGCTTTATAGCTGCTTACTGAAGAAGGGATGAGAGTTTTGGTTGTAAGATCTCTGGTTTCCCAGGGCTGTGACAGTTTTAACGGGGTTACTCCTTTAACCCAAGTTCCATCACTTTAAATCTGAGTTCTCCTCCACGTTTTAATTCCCTCATTCCCTTCCTCAGCCTCTTTCCAACAGCTAAACTGCCCCAGTGTGATGGCTGGTAGGTTTGGCTGAAAACATTTGCTCCTGATTTGGGCTCAAAGGAGTTGATGTGCAGCTCCACCAACGAGGCTCAGATGTTAGCAGGGTGCTCTGTGTTGCTCATGGAAAAGACAGCCTAATTCATGCTCTTAAAGCACTTGGAAGCACTGATGCTGTAAACATGGGTGGGTTCCTCCCGCTCTGGGTAACATGAGGGCTGAGACCACTGTGTCTTTCCATTGCCATATGTGTAATACAACCTGGTTTGCCCCTGCCAGCTTTGCAGCATGTCAAGAGCAGCTAGCACACATGCACACACACAAGGAGCATGGATAAAATCAGCAGTGAAGTCAGGAGGATGGATCGGTTAACACTTTGTACGCTGCAACACCTTAATGCTGTATTCATGTTGCGTTGCTCTTTTCTGTGTTCCCAGATAACCAAGTTGAAAATTGACAGCAACCCTTTTGCTAAAGGATTCCGGGACTCTTCCAGACTCACTGATATCGAGAGGTAATGGGGACTTTCTGTTTACTTTCCATGCAGATAAGATAAAGAGAAGAGAGAGTTTGTAGGAGAAGCATCCTTTCAACTCCTGAGAAGCTGTGCATTTTAGCGTTATCTTGTTGCATACAGTAAGCCTCCTCCACCTCCTTTAAAAATACTTATAAACTTTATGAAGAAAGATCTGGTTTGAGTTTTGACATCTGCTCCAGTTGGGGCTGATATATTCATCTTCCTGAGGGGACTTCTTGAAGGGGGAGGGAGAAAGGGTCAGCTTGACAACTTCAGAATGAAAAGCTTTTTTCTTATCGTGCCATTTAATCCTGCTGAGGGCTGTGAATTGGGTCAGTGGGAAACAAGGGTAGTGGTCCTGTGAGAAACATCTTTATAGCTCCCCACTGCTCACACAGTGGAAAAGAGAGGGGAGCTTCCCAAAATACACTTCAGCAGTCCCAGACACTGAAGTCAGCAATTATTGCCATCAGGATGAATCCCATCACTCCCACTCTGATGACAAAGATGCCATTTTTGTTTCACCAAAACTGTACTGCAGGCTGCACCAGGGGAAAGCTTTATCTGGAAACTGTTGAGTCTTGTGTGTGTATAGCTCATTATAAGCAACTGCTGCCATAGGGAAAAGAAGCATTAACCCACAGTTGAGTAGGAAATAAACTTCAATCTCTTGGTAGCTTTCCAGCATGTCACATTTTTATGATACCGTGTCAAACAGTTTGGCAAACGAAGCAAATTAAGCTGCCTGTGTCCTTTAGGCTGGAAGGGAACTTGATGGAGATGGATATAGCACATCCAAATTTCCCTGTAAGCACACAGTCACGAAAGAAATTTTGGAGAGGCCAAAACCCTCCAGGCTCCTATGTCATCTGGGGATATCCAGATGTATCTGTGAATCATCTTTCGCAGGTGCATATAGGGGACAAACTGCTCAATGAAGTCATACCTATAGAGCTAGGGAAAGTCTTTACGGCACTGCAGAAGTACATCAATCTAAGCAGCTTCACGGGTGGGAGTTAGTGGTGTATATTATACCTTGCCAGTGACCAGACCATTAGTGATACGCTGAGAAATCGGCTAAAGAAGAGTAATTTTGCACTGCACACTTGCAAAGTTCTTAGAAATTGCTTCCTAATTGAAAGCCTTTGTTGAAATTGGAAAAAGAAACAAACCAGATTTGATTAAAATAGCATAGCTTGCTGTACAGGCAAAGTACTAAGGTAAAGAATACCCAAAGCTGAGGTTTGTTGCAATAAATAGTCAAGACAAGACCTGTAGGAAGAGCAGATGCTTTGATTTTTCACACTTCAGTTTCCTTGTTCAACAGGCAGGCGACATCTAATGACACAGCTCTGCAAGGGCTGAGAGACTCTGAATAGATAAGCTGGGAGAAAAACTTAGTTACCTCTGTGCAGACGAACCGACTATCGTGGTGCTGGATATGAAGGGAATTTTTCCAGAGGACATCTTATTATAACAGCACATGGCACGGAGTCAGAAATGCTGAACATAAACCGCAGTGCCCTTTTGTTTATTGATAAGTGTAAGAATAGAGCCTGAGACAGGCAGCCTAGCCCAGACACAAACGTTGCTATGAAAGATAAGGTAGCCACATATGAAACCTACAATAAATCCAAGAAGCAGAATGTGGAAAGTATTTAAATGATATTAAAATGCTGTATTTGGGAGTCTAAGTGTAGTTAAGGACTTATTTTGACATAGATTGGAAAGTTTAGCCCTCATTAGGGAATGGTATTTAAAAATAACCCCAGAAACTGCTGCGCAACAGATGAAGTAATGAGATAGTCATAGTGTAACACACAGAAGGGCTGGTAAGAAACTCTTTGAGAATTTCCTAAGTTATCTGATATGGTTCAGAAACACCAAGGGTTTTATTCAGTTCCAGCATTAAAATATTCAGGCAGATGAGAATGACGTTCTTTTAAGTGCCCACTGGTTCTACAGACTTCATGTTAGCGCCAGCAAAATTGCTTAAAGGAATCTGATACAGAGCGAACGAAAAAGCAAAGTGAGATATTTAATACGGTATGACAATCAAACAAGTAACCAGGGCAGATTTTAGATTAGGCACTAGGCAGAAGTTCTTCCCTGTGAGGGTGCTGAGGCGCTGGCACAGGGTGCCCAGAGAAGCTGTGGCTGCCCCATCCCTGGCAGTGTTCAAGGCCAGGCTGGACACAGGGGCTTGGAGCAACCTGCCCTTATGGAAGGTGTCCCTGCCCATGGCAGGGGGTTGGAATTGTTCCTTTCCAACTCAAACCAGTCTGTGATTCTATATGACAAGAGGAAGAATTTCTCACTTAATACCCATTGCGAGATGCATTACAAGATGTAGGTGGTAGACAGAATAGCACAGCATGACCCTTGCTTGGTCTAGTTGGAAACAGCTTAGAAGATTACAGAGAAAAATACTTATTTTCTAGGAAAAAGGCTATGTGGGCCAAACATGCATTAGCACAGGTCTTGAAAGCTGAACAGTTACTCTGAAGCTGTGAAAATTACTTGCATGCACTGCTTCCTAAGCATGTGCATGCATAATCCGCACGGTGATCCTAATGGTCTCCCGTAAAGCATCCTGTGATGTTAGGGCCAGAGAGCACTCATTTATCACGAGTTCCAGCTTTTCCGAATGACCTAAGTAGTGTGAAAGTGTACAGAGCTTTGTATTTCATTTCCAGGTATTTAAGCCTGCTTTTTCCTAAACAGCCTTTGGGGAGGGAAACAAATCAGATCAATTGATCTTTAGAGACCTAAAGAAATTAAATTAGTCTGGAGTCAGTTACTGCACTAAACCATCCAGTAATTGGATTGCTCCTTGTAACTGATTGAAAACAGCCTCTATCTGTAACAATATAGGTAGCTTTTCTTTATAGTAGATCTGAGAGAAAAACACATCTTTTTATGACATGATGACAGAAATTGCACGTTTTTAACCTAATTGAATATGATTTTATAAATATGTGACTTTAATGATTTCAGGCTTCCCATTCTAGATTTACGATCCTTATGTGGGAAACCCAAGCTGAAAATGCATTTAGGATTAAATCTGTTTGCATTATATGTGTTGGAGTTACAGTACTATATGTAAAGATAATGAAATTGGCAAAATGGTAGAGGAGGTAATAACAGCAAAGCTGTTGAAGTGCTTCTATTTTCTTTTGTTCTCGTCTATATACCTTACAATGGTTTCCTTGTACTCATAGCTATATATGCAAAGCTTTTAACCATTGAAAACATCTTTGGTAAAGTTTGGTATGTATCAAATTTTCAGCAGGATTTGAGATTCCTTCCATAATCAGCTCTTTCCATACATTACTTACGGTAATCTATTTACGGCAATGGGGCAGACTTTATCTGGGGCTACTGTGATTTAGATAAGTAGCTGATTCACCTTTTGATCTTTTCACATGGTATTTACATTTCCTCTATTAGAAAAAGGGCTCCCACAATGGTTGTTATTGGAAAAACTGAGCATTTAGCAGCGATTGTCAGAATGTGGAGCCTATTGTACTCTGGTGTTGACTATTGGATGCTAAATGCAATACTGTGGACAACTGTGATCTCTTTTTAATGGTAGCCTTTGTAAAAAGACCAACGTAGGTGTTATAATGAGCAATTCACTCTGGAGATGAGTTTTAAGGGAATATCTTTATGCTTCTGCTTAAGAAAAAACTGCCAAAGCCATAAAATGATGCAAAATCAGAACCCAGTGGGTTACTTTTTATCTTGAGCCTGAATTTACCTTTTGAGTTGTGAAGAATTGGCCTTTTAAAAAGAAATGGATAAATAAAACCATCGCGGTTTAATATCATGCAAACAATCCAGGGGAAAAGGTGATCACACAAAGAGTGTGAGTGAACAGAACTACTGGATTATGAAATGATGATCAAATAAGAACTGACAGATCACAAAAATGATCTGAATGTTGCTTCTCTGTTTGATCCAATATGTGATAGGCAAGTCACATACTGTAGTTGTAACTGTTGGAGAGCTGTGTATACCCATCTGCACAAGTCCAATAATGCTTCTGGGGGGTAGATACATACTTCAGGAGGCAATTTGGACACCCAAGTCATTTTTCAGCAGAGAAAGGAAGGATTGGGGGATGGAGAAGTAAGAGAGCTGCATCCCAGCATCCCAGCTGGATTTGCATGGTAATCGGATTCTGAATTTTCCCCTGAGGAACTTCATGTCTGAGACGTGGAAATACATTGTACTGGCTTACAGTGCTAATGTTCAGATACGGGCACTGCCCTGCTCAAGTAGCACTTGGAGCCATGTGCTTAATGATGCGCTGTCCACAGTGGTCCCCTCTTCCATCCCCTCTCTGAGCTGCCTTCCTCCTCATTCCCATTGCTTACTGCTGGTAGACCAACTTTCCTGACCCTTAAAATCCCCCTACCAACAGCCAGAAATACTTACTCTCTACGACCTACTCCCGTGTCCACGATTAAGCAGGGTTTTGTCATAGTTCTCCAGCAAGTCAAACTCCCCAGCTGATCTTTTATCTCCAGCTAGTTCTCAGTCTGAGAATTTCAGCAACCAGCCATGGGAGAGCATCTCCAACACTTAGGTTGGGAGAAAAAGTGGATCTTGAATTTAGAGAAACATCAGGGGCTCCAGTGCCTGGTATCTGGTGCCATTCCAGATGTGCTGAGGTTACTCCAGCCTCCAGCTGCTCATTTTCCACTTAGGTATTCTGTTATTTATCCTTTTTACTTGTGCAAAATGATGATATAAAAAAGCTCTATTTTGCTAGTGTTTTCCATTCGCCTCGTGCAGGTGTCGTACGTGCATAGGGGGAGGGCATGATGTCAGACCAGAGCCATGGTTTCCAAGCCAGAGAAATGTAATTTTATCTTTGTGTTTGTTTGTTTTAATTCCTTGTATAAAGATAGCTGGTTTTCTCATTTTTATTTGCAGTTGGGAGAAGCAGGGTGTCTATATTTGATAACCTCATGATCCTTCTTCCTAAGAGT